GTTCATGAAACAGCTGAATTCATTGATTTGCAATCAAGAATAATTATACCTGCCAAGCTGTACTTGAAAATCCACAACTATCTCTCTCTGCCAAATTTTGGAAATTGCCACTACTTTTAAGCTATGGATTTCCTGCAGTTTACAGCAGCTTTCCCCTCCATCATATTCCAGTAACAAATTCACTAATTTATTGTAAATAAACAAAGAGCCAGACAATTGGCATAAGAATCCAAATCAGATACTTTAAATCATTTCTTAATATTTAAGTAGAAAGAAACATGGCTTCATAGTAGCCTTTCATCTTTATGACATCTGTTCAGTTTCTTCTATGGTCAATCTTTATTATATGCAGCCCAGAATCATGCTTGTGAGAAGAGAGCTATATAAAGGTGAAGAATAAAATGTATTTTTCTGACCTTGTTTGGATCGCTCATACCTCTTCAAAACTACCTTCTCATCTATGAAATGTTTCCTTATATACCAGTATCATCCATACTTTGCTGCCTGTTAAAATTTCTTTTTTATATAGTAACTTTATTAAATCTTTTAATAAAAACTAAAAATTAAACTGAAGAAAAGGGAAGGAAGGATTAAAAAATTACTTCCAATTTTCTTTTAAAACAGTTATAACTCCAAATTTAAATTAAATCTCTTACGCTAAGGTTACAACATAACTTTCATTTTTTTTCTATCATTTACAGCACTATTTTTTCTAATCAACTTGTATATCATAATTTCATTTTTTCTACTTCACTCCAAAAGTGGAAAAGGGGTTTCCAGATGGCATTAAAATCAATCTTTTCTGTAACCAAGGCTGTCAAATTAGCCATTTATTTATTTATTTATGTATTTATTTATCAAATTTGTACCCCGCCCTTCTCCTAACAGACTCAGGGCGGCTTACAGCCAGTTAAAACAAATAACTAATACAATAATACTAAATTTAAAATGTAATTAAAATGAAATATTAATTATTGGCCATTTCTTTTTAAAATTATTTTAAAACCAAATTAAAATACCCCTTAGGCCAGTCCTGCTAGCTTAAATAGCCATGTCTTGAGGGCGCGGCGGAAGGAGGGGAGATCCGGAATCACCCGGATCTCTGGGGGTAGTTCGTTCCAAGCTCCATCACTGTCATCATCCACTCTGGGTAATATCAAATCTTCTCATTATTGTGCATATAAAAGTCTTGTTGCTTCCTGCTAAAAGTTCAATACAACCTGCCCTCTTGCTTTTTACCATTATCACTATTATTTTAATTATAGGTTTGCAGGATGTTTCATGGATTGAGATTAAATCCTGTATATTTCTACTGTACTCAAAAGGAAGTATCAACTGGTTCAGTGCTGCAACTCTCAGGAAAGTGTCAATCAAATTGCAACCCTGTAAATTCAGTATCTAGAATATCTGGAAAATTTGGATGCCAATCCTTGCTCAGTTCTGATTCACTGGATGATCTGGTAGTTTACCTTATCAAATTCCTTTAAACTTTAATGTTGCTCATTTCTTATGGGGCAGGATAAAAAATATAAGTATACTTCAAAGGAAAATGACATTTTTGAAGGATTGCTAAAAATTCTTAAAAATCATGGAATGTTTCCCACGTTTTCTATTAAGAATGACAAGACTTGACTTTATATAAATCTTCCTATTTTTATTGAGTGTAGTAAGACTTCCTTTCCCAAGTACAATTGTCTTTTAATCCATGAAATATCCCTCCTTAGTAACATTTCAACATTTTTTTAAATTCTAAAACTTTTTAGTTAAAAAAATAAACACCCAAAAATCTAGATTTTGTGAGAGATGGGAGAATAAATACGATCATTTGATTAAAAAAATATAAATACAAATGATTTTCTGTTGTTTATAAAGAAGCATATTCCAGTCATGTGTAGCTCATATCCTTTATGGGATTTGGGGATTATTCAAATTCCTGTTTTGTTTTTCAGAGATCTGTATCATCTTCCCATTTTTTTCCATGGGTGGAAAACAGTTTTCCTTGCTCTGAATTATGTACATAATACGTCATTCAGTATTCAGTGTTGTCTTGGGATTTTATCTAAAACATCATAAATCCAGCGTATGTAGTGCATTCCAATAATTTTCTTTCTGAAGTACTACAAAATGCACTAATAATTTATTTAAAATATTGGCAAAAAAGCTAAACTATAAAGCATATTCCCATAAGTTCTTTCTCTTCTATATTCTGTATCTGCCAAGCCTTCCAGAAAGTGTTATTGAGATCTTTCATAGCAGACATTCAAAGAAATTATAAAAAGCAAGAGGACGCAAAAATAATTTGTAAAATCCAGCAGTAAGATATTATTTCCTTATATCATTTTTAATTCATACGGAGGTAATTCTTTTTTAAACTGTTCCAAATAATAAAAATATGGTCAGTAAACATTTATAATTTTTATTTTTAGTCCTGCCCAGTTAGAAATTGTCTTTGCTGGTACCGAAAAAAATCCATCTATAATTCACTAGAAAGAAAGCAACAAAATTGTCATTATAATATTCATGAACTTACATTCAGTACAAGATGACTTTGAGAAAAAGTAGATCTGTGCGCGTTTGTATCTCTGTATCTTTTATCTGTATTTATAGGCGTATTTGTGCATTATGCAACAATGAAATCATTACCCCACTGCTTTGCAGATCAACAAGATTAAATTTGGGGCAGGGTGGGGAAGATTGCCGTTTCCCCTATTTCTGCTGTGGTGAAGGATTTCTTAATTCATCTTTGGTCCAGTTCAGCCACATCTCCTTTGACCTTCTTTGACTGTGGCGATTATGGCACTGGGAAGGCCACGTTGAGACTGATGGGAGGGGGGATTGTCAATGGGGTTTTCAAGGCTGGATTCCCCCCTCCCATTTCAGAGCTCTCTCTGATTAGTTCTATGGCTTCTGCTATTGAAATCTCAAGGGAAGTCCAGGACAATTTCAAGCATAGTACCATTAGCTTGAGTTTGGTCTAGTGCAGGGTTCTCCAAACTTGGCAACTTTAAGACTTGTGGACTTCAGCTCCCAGAATTCCTCAGCCAACCATTCTGGGGAATTTTGGGAGTCTTAAAATTCCAAGTTTGGAGATCCCTGGTCTAGTGGTTAAGGCACCAGGCTAAAAACCAGGAGACTTTGAATTCTATTCCCTTCTTTAGGCATGAAAGCCAGCTGTCTACTTCGCAAGGTTATTGCTATGGAGAAAATAGGAGAAGGAAGTAGTATTAGGTATGTTTGCCATCTTGAAGTATTTAAAAAGTAATAAAGGTAGGATATAAATCAATAAATAAACAATAATCACCTACATGGACTATAGAAAGCTGCCTTATAGATGAGATTATTTGTCCATCAAGACCTGTATCATCTGATGGGCAGCCGTGTTTTCTGCCTCACTTGATCCTGTCAGCTGACTTTCTAGCCAATTTGTGGGCCAGAGAAAATTGAGTAATCTTTTTTCTGAAATTCCTATTTCTGTGTCACAGAATGAGTAACAATCGTTTATTTATCATTTAATTTCATTTGAAAGGTAAACACAGAGTATATTTCTCCATCTTGTTTTTTCTCACAAGGGTGCTGTGAGGTAGATTTTTGTGTGTGTGTGTGTGTGCCAGATTATTTCTACAGGCGTGAATCTTTCAAATGAAATAAATTTCACTCTGTATTAACAGATAAGTCATGACCTCATGCCGTAAACTGACACTCATAATTTGCATTGTGAAAATGATTTAAATAGTTTCATACTAACAGGTTTGGAAAATAGGAAATGATTGCAATACTGGAATATTCCACTCATCCAGGGATCAGGAAGCACAGAATAGCTTAATGGCATTGTTATTCATTACTAGAAATGAATATATACTTTAAAAGTTAAAGTTTCCTTACATGGCAAGCACGGGCTTCTCATATCCTGAAATACATTAAAATGAGAGATGTGTGTGTAATGCATTAGCAGCAACAGATAATAAATATACTCACAAAAACCAAGGGAGAGGGCAACAACAGGGGATATTTAATATTAAAAAGTAACTGTACATCTTGGATACTGGAAAAAAGAACTCCCCCTATAGCTATTCAAATTCACATCCATGTAGAGCCTGGCGTGCTTGTAGAATTTCGCACACATCTGTCTTTTTTAAGTTCAAAGGCACTTAGGCAGAATACAGTCTCTTCTCCAACCAGTTCGCACAGGCACAAGAGGCACTCTGACAGCTCTTTTTCTACAAGCAAAAACCAGATCAACCAACTGAAGAAAATCATCCCACTTTGACCGCGTGGCTTTTTTTCAGAGCTTTAGAGAATTCTATCTTCAAACCTCGTTCCCGCCCACCCGATTCCACAAAAGGTAGAAGAAACAGATGCAAAGGGTTTGTTTTCATGAGGCAAGGATGCAGCAGCACATTTCAGGTCAAAGGTAAAGGTTTTTCTTCCAACCTTGGATGAAGAATCAAGGCTCTTATGCGACAGTCTTGCATGGATTCTGTCTTGGAAATTGGTCTTCAGCATTGAAACTGACATTTTTTTTTATTTTTGCAGTCTGGCATCCCATCGTGTATTGTTAAGCAAAGAGAACTGCTTCATGTCCTTTTGGAACTTCATCTGAGCTTCCGAAGCGCTTTCTTTGGCTGTGCCCTCAAGACACATGTAATTCTTTGAATTTCAGCTATCAAGTAACAGAAGGAACATTCACCACCATCACCACCACCACCGTTCTCACTGTTTCTGTGGCAAAGCATCTGGAGCCAGCCCCATACCTCAAGTTTCTCATTTATTCTGGCTGAGTCGTTTCAAGAGTTGCAGGGAACAAGTACAGAAATCCCATCCCTGGTCTTTTTTTATCCTTGCTCCATGACTAAATAATTTAAAAAAGGAGCAGCCCGACCCATCAGTTGTTTAAGTGGAAGCATTTTAGTCTCTTAAATAAGCTTCTTTAATTATAATTATTACATCATCATCACCATCAACATCAATTTATTTATACAAATATATATAAAATAGATTTATATAGTTTTATATCATATAGATTTGTAGCTCTCGCTGGCCTTTCATTTACAGACATACTGGTCGACAATCTCTGTGCACTTTTTACACTTAACGTAACAGCACCAATGAAACTTGCAGTGGCAACGTTCTACTTGCACACTCTTGAACTGGTCATAGCCTCGGCCACAACACATCAGCTCGCATCCATCCATGCCTTCTGAAGTCTTATTACACAACCGCCCCTGTGTGCCCAGGGAGCCCGTGGTCTCATTACGCAGGCAATAGTCAGGACTGGAGTCAATGTAGACCAGGTCCTCAGGGGTGGGTGAATTGAAGCGGTTGTTCACTAGCTCAAGCTTGCCTTTGCGGCCGATTCTCATGGCGGCAGCGCTGTCGTATTTCTCCTTCAGAAAGTCCCCCACTTTGCGGAAGTCGGCCAGCTGCAGCCAGCATGTCTTGAGACTGCAGGACCCTGAGACTCCATGACACTTGCAAGCCACATCAGCCAGCTTGTACACTGCCTGCGGAAGAGAAAACCCATTGTGTCAACGCAACAGCTAACAGCAGGATGACCTAATCAGATAGTACACTTACTGATGCAGGAATCACTTCCACTGTGCTGAGTGGGTGAGTGTAGAAAATACTTCAGCCTTTCCTAAATATATTTTTATGATATTTAGAGCTCATCCTTTATTTCCCTCTAAACTGCTCAGAGACGTATATGCAGCTTCTTCTGTTTAATTTATACATTTCTCTACAGAATGTAGGTTGGGGCACTCTCATTTTCTTCAACAGTTGCATGCTTATAGAGGATTTTTTTTAAATTTGGCCACTAAAAGCCACTGTCAACGCTGCTAACATTGGATGTTCTTGCTTTGACAATATATGGAGATGCAGCCTTTTTCTTTCTTATACTTTACTCTTAGAATTAGATGATACTGGGGGAGGGGGAGAAATGTGATGGGAGTTAGTTAGACATACAATATTGTAATAAGAGCTGATAAGGCTTGACCGGGATAAAGAACTGGGCAGAAAGCCAGCATTTCAAACTAATTGGAGAATGTGATTTATGACTGCTAGTTGTAGGAGGGAATTGTGCTTTGATCTATGTGCTGAAGGGAGGGGAAGTCAGATTTTGGCTTGACTATGTACCTGCCGACTATGTATGTGCCGAAGCTATGCTGCTCGAATAAAGGTTCTTTAAGGTAAACAATGCCTCAAAGTTCTTTGAAGAGTTTCATCTTTCGAAACCATGACAGCCACAGAGCAATCCAAAAGCCAAATGTGTCCTTAGAGCTGCAAATTGCTTGCTTTGATATATAGGATATTATCTGGGTAGTTGTGTTGAGAGGGAATGCAGATATCCTTGACTTACGTTGCTTAGCTACCAGTCAAAGTTCTGATGGACCTACAGTGGGGAGGCTGTAGCTCCATCATACAACCAGAATTTGAAGTTCTCATGGTCCGGTGGAATCCCCCCCCCCCCAATGATTTGCAGCATCCTGTGGTCACGTGACCATGTTTTATGATGGTTTTGCCAAAAACTGGCATATATTTCCATTTATTTGATAATTATGGAAAGGTTTGTATCCATTGTACAGACTCAGTCCCTTATGGCAAAACCCTAAATTGCCTTTCAGTATCTGTGCTCCGGTGAAGAGAGTGCTAAGCATCTGTTTTGGGGCTCAGAGTAATTTGGAGGTAATCAGTTCTAGGACAGAATTGTTCTAGAAACAGGGTAGGACTTCTGGTTTCTTGTTCTTAATAATTCGGTGTTTCTCTAGCAAGAAATATCAGCTACAGAGTTTTATTAGAGGAGTGCTGCGATGACCTTGGAAAAAGTACACTGAGATTATTAGTAAAATATGAGCTCAGCCCTGGAAAACACGGAAGCATAAGACTGCCCCCTCCTTGACTCTCTCTGATATAAGGTAATGACCTTGGTAGACAGGAGAAGAGTCACAATATAGATAGACAACAGTCATGCAAAAGATATGTTGGCCAACAGAAGAAAAAGGAGCGTGGGAACAATGTCAAAAGGGACCCACCTTAGTTTTTTGTAAAGTAAAAATAAGGGAGGGGAGAGTTACTTTCAAACCCAATAATGAGATTCTGTTACTTATCCTTACAATAAAACTCATGGTTTGGACTTCTCGTCTGGACTACTTTAAAGGGCAGACAGTTTCTTATGATATCTGTTCCTGATCTTAGAGGATTGACAGTTTTTGAGACTCTTGATCAAGACGTCTATAGTGTAACCTCACCACGAAAAGACTCTTTCCATTGTTTTGACAATCTGTTTCTATGCTCTTTTATTCTAGGGACCAGTGTTTCTCAACCTTGACAATTTTAAGGCATGTGGACTTCAACTCCCAGAATTCCACAGCCAGCATTGCTGGCTGTGGAATTCTGGGAGTTGAAGTCTACATGCCTTAAAATTGTCAAGGTTGAGAAACACTGCTCTAGGCCCAAACCTCACCATTGTTCAAACTGATCAGCATCTGAAATGAGGAATTTCAACATTATTTTTTGTACTTCATGTTCACCCTTCCACATGCATTTTATAGGAAATAAGCAGAATTCAGGCTGAATCATCCTGCCTTTATGTCAAGTTCTAATTCTGAGTTTGAAGTGTACAATTGTAATCAGCATTATTGTAGAGAAGGCAATTTGCATCTTGTTCGCCACCTGGTGGCCAATCAATTCTCTTTCCCATTATTACTTTATAAGAGGACTGTCCAACCTTGGCAACTTTAAGACTTGTGGACTTCAATTCCCAGAATTCCCTAGGCAGTATTTATTCCTTCCAGAAATTCTGGGAGTTGAAGTCCACAAGTCTTAAAGTTGCCAAGGTTGGACACCCCTGCTTTATTACATAATAAGAAATATTTGGAATAAAACTTGTGCCTAAAAATGTTATGTATGAATCAGATAAATATCTATTTAGAAATATAGGTATTCACAGGCATGGTCGACAAAGCTGAAGCTGCCTATAGCTTATTATCAAATAATAGATTTATTATTATAAAATGTATTTTTTTATTTATTGCTGCAATCATTTCAATGCTTGGGCTTATTAAATGTGTGGATACTTGTGACATGTGTATATTGAAAGTTAACCTGATAATAAGCAATTCAACATCTGGGGGGAAAGCACTGATGAAGTTAGAAAGTTTTCTTTACATTTTGTATGTAAATACCAAGGCACAAAACCCCTCATTACACACACTGTATTGAAATGCCCTCTTCTTGTGTTGTGCATGGCAAAAACTATACTAAGACTGAAAATGTTTTGGTAGTGGCATGTTTACAGATGATGTAAACATGCTACAAATTATTACAAAATGTTCTTTAGCGTAGAAGATGAACTGAATGCATAGACAAGTTAGTTGTCAGAAGGAATGTGGTGTAAAAATCTTATTGAAGCTAAGCAGAAAAGGATCTGATTAATGTCTGTGCAGAAAATTCCCAGAGAATCTTATAAAGTTACGAAAAGATTCCTCAGGACCTTTTAAGACCTGGTTCCAAACTTCCAAGAGCTGTTCCTCCCTTTTAGTCACATGACCACGTGTTGTGTGCATGACAACCAGCTCACACTCCTGGCCATTTGTAGTGTCCTGCAGACATGTGTGACCATGTTTTATGACATTTTTACTTTTGGTTTCTGGCAAAACAACAGCCCATAATGAACAATAGCTTCATTTAACACTACCATATTCACTATGGGTCGGTTATATGGGTGACCTGCTTTACAACTATTACAACTTAACATCATAATGGGCAGGCTCTATTACATTCGTAAGCCAAGGACTACATGTATGTAGGTTGTCCTAGGTATATCAGGAAAGGTAAGACTTATATCTTATCATAAATTACAATGGTAATGATTTTAAATTTATTTACCAAGCTAATATCTGCTACAGCATCTCCAAGAAATACAACACATTAATCACTGTTTTACTATCCTGGCCACAAGAGCTGAATATAAAATTATATGAATTAGTTCCCTGACATCTCTTAAATAATATTCAAATCTGACAAGAGTGATTCTGGTGAATTGTTGCTTATCTTAGAAAACTGGAAGCTGAAGAAAATCTGTACGCCTCATTCTAGGCATTCATTTGAAAAAGAAATCCGTGCTTCAATTTTAGTCAAGAAGCTGACATTGGTCCAAATCTGAGCAAACACAGCGATATCTTTTTAAATCCACTTCAAGAAGGAAAACTGACTTGGCCCTAATCAGGGATATACTGAACCAATTTGGTTTCTCTGCCTGGCAAAATTATGGTCTGCTCTGTTTATGGGAAGTATGGCTTAGGTCCACCCCAAACAAAATCGTAATAATCAAAACTGTCTTCAAAGCAATTTATAGCAATAAACAAATGATTGAAATAAAATTGGTCCAATCCAGCATAAGAAATGGGCTGGAACCAAGAATCCACACCAAAAGAGGCATAGTGTACCACCAAGGCTGCAGAATATAGAGGCCATTTTGACTTTTGAAGCCTGGGACACTCTTCATTCTCTACCTAAAGCTATAAAGGTATGCTTGAAAATTTTCACTGAAACACTGGAATATTTATTTGCCTTTTCTTTTGCTATCTAAAATCTGCTGCATTTGTATTTTTCTTCTTTTGATTTCAAACCAGTAGCTCTATCACAGGGGTGTCAAACTCAATTTCATTGAGGGCCGCATCAGCATTGCGGTTGCCCTTGGGGGGGCCGGGTAGGTGTGGCCAGGGTGGGTGTGGCCTACTAGGTGGGTGTGGATGGAGTGGGTGTGGCCTACTGGGCGGGCGTGGCCAGCTCTACATCGTTCACGTCAAGGGTGCCTGTGGGGGCCTGGGCAGGAGTGGGGCAGATCTGAGGGTCTCTGGCAGAAGGGGGTGGGACCGGGGCAAGCGCCAAGGCATGGTCCATTTCTTCATTCCTCACAAAGGGTGACACCTCCCCAGCATGCACCCAGGGGGCAGGGCCGACACGGCAGGGGCTGGTTCCTCGCTGTTTCTAGATGGCCTTGTGGAGCTAAGACTGAATGTGTTTCAGCATAGATGGCCACCACAAAATTGTACATTGGCTCCCGGACGGCCTGGGCCAGGGCCAGGGCCAAGGCAGCGGGGGCCGTTCTCTCACTGTTTCCAGGATGGCTTTGCGGGCCACATGAAACCACTTCGCGGGCCGCATCCGGCCCCCGGGCCTTGTGTTTGACATGTCTGCTCTATCAGTATTAGGAAAAGTAATCGTGTTTTCTTGCTGTATCTTTTGAATAAAATTTCCATCAGACTTTTGCTTTGGGTCCCACTCAGAAGAGTAGCAGACAAATACCAAAACATATTTTAAAATATTACAAACAGGATTCATTCAAGAACCTCTTGTTCTCTCTTTCAAAATCCTCAGTTGCTAGGAATCAGGTTACCGATAAAAACAAAAACAAAAAAAAACTGACTTGGAGCTTTTTCAGATGTATTAGGCTCATATCAGCCAAAATTCTTAGCCAGCGGAAAAGTCCCAATACACAAAA